CTTGCACCAAACGAAGAACCGCCTCATCGTACGTGCAAGTCTAAACGGTTCATCACCAAGGTTATGTTCCTCTCGGCGGTTGCTCGGCCGCGGTGGGACAACGAGAAATCGGCTTTGGTTGATGGAAAGATCGGTACGTGGCACTTTACCGAGCAAGTACCGGTCATTCGAGCAAGTCGCAATCGGCCAGCCGGGACGTTGGAGACCAAACCCGTCAGTGTGACACGCGATATGTACCGAGCAATGCTGATTGACCATGTCATTCCTGCAATCAAGGCCAAGTGGCCTGTGGGCGAATCGAGGCGTATTATCATCCAGCAAGACAATGCCAGGCCGCATGTTCCTCCACTTGACAGCAGGATTGTTGACGCCTGCACAAGCGACGGATGGATGATGGAGCTCAAGTATCAGCCGCCCAACTCACCCGACTTGAACGTACTTGACCTCGGGTTTTTTCGAGCGATCCAGTCGCTTCAAGAGAAGAACTACTCCCGCAACGTAGACGACATCGTTGCTGCTTCGGACGAGGCGTGGAAGCAAGTAGAACCCATGACACTGAATGCCAATTTTCTGACTCTACAATGTTGCATGCATGAAGTCATCCGTGTAGCTGGAAACAACAATTACAAGATCCCTCACATGAAGAAAGCGTCACTTGCCTTGAAGGGCATGTTGCCTGAGGTTGTCGCCGCCGACGTCGATGTCCTCAATGATGGATTTGCACTCCTCCGGGCCACCGATATGGCGAAAAAGGTCGATGACTTGTCAGCTGAAGTGGCGGAGGCATTGGACATGTGCGAATTTAGCTCTCAAATGGAGAAGCTTGCTGTCGATGGCGAGCTAGATGAAGATATTGAAGGGGACCTGGCGAACCTCTTAGGACTACTTGAGCATTGAATATACTGGACTGGACTACTACATATTAATGCTAGATTTTGTATTTTCGTTTACTACTACGTAGTAAATAGTATGAAATTTTGTATATCGAAGAGATAGTGGTACTGTTGGGGTAATTATTCACGGAAATCAGATTTTCCGTTTGAGGCACATATTTCCGGACAGAGGTAGTAACAATTACAAAATTAGAATAATTTAAAAGTGTTATTGAAGAAGGTCCACCAAATCTGTTGCGCCATCGACTTCATCAACGACACTAACTGTAAAGTCCATCCTCTGACCAATGGTTTTTTCGATAGATGAAGTCGCCATCAAAGCCGTCAAGACATCGTCCTCAAGGACCCCCCGTCCCCATCGTCAATGACAGGTAACCCATCAAAAAGTTGACACTTCATAAACCCGTTGAGAATGGTAGTCGTGCTAATGCCCTTCCATGCGTCAGCTACCCACGACACGATGTCTCCCCGCGTCGGTGGCACAAGCTTGAAGGACTCGCCACATTGCTTGGGGCGCAGCAACTGGCGGCGAATCATATCAAGCCAGTTTTGTCGAAGTCGAGCCTTTAGTGGCCTGTTCCAGGCGACGTCCACAGGCTGGCAAATCCAGGTGTAGTTGGGAGGGACACGCTCCGACATTGACCGTCTTTGCGTAGGCGCTGGCCGAAATAGAACTCTAGGATTTTGAGCGATATTTGCGAGTTCCACCATGCTGTTGGGTTGCCAAAGATGCGGCAACATTCTTGACTTGCAATGGCTCAACACTCTCCCATAGGCGCTTGCCGAAGCCTTCATGCTGTTGTGAAGTTCTCTTACACCACTGCCTTTACGGTGGACTTCGTCGTTCGAAGAACCAAGAATAAGGGATGCTTAGCGCCGGTTGTGTCGGCAAGGAGCATTTCCGTCATTCGATATTTGGTCTTCCCACCGCACCGTACCAACACCGTGTACTCGCCAGACTTGTTCAACCTCTTGGTAGGCAAGTACTCGTAGTTTACCGCAGTTTGATCGACATTGTAAACCACGTCGATGTTCTCTTCTTCGACGATCTTGCGGATACGTGCGCTGACTTTCCCCGAGACTGCAAGACCGTCCTCGGTGTCTGCTGGCCAATGCGGGTACGTGCACGAAGGGACAGCCCATGGCGCCGCTTTAAAACCATCCATCCAATGCCAACCAGCTCGGAATTCGACGTCGTTGAATCCAAGGTCGATTGCTGCTTCAAGTGTCATCACACGCAACATGTGGGTAGTAAGCGGAACGCCGTCGTTGCGCATACCTTGCACCCACTCGACAAGTGGCTCCTCGGCTTCCTTGGTGAGAGTTGTGCCGGTCCCAGCAGCTCGGCGGCACTTCATCTTGGCCGTGGTCGGGCTTGAGGCCATCTTCTCGATGTGGGAGCGGTTGGACAGCCATGAATACATTTGTTTTCGTTTCGTCTCACAAGCCGTAGATGTGAGTCGGCCATACAAGAGACATAGAAGCACTCTGACAAGATCTCTGTGGCATTATCAATTCGAGCTGATGGTATTGATTACAAACGTTAACCATGATAACAATGCTATGTGTAGGTGCGAAGATGCCGCTGTTGATCCTTGTCAAAGGAACTCTGGGGAGTGAGATTGACGTTGACGAGCTTCCAACGTACCCACCCGGCCCGGTGTATGTTGTGCAAAAGGCGGCCAATATGGACCAGCGTGTGTGGTCGCTCTACCTTCGTGGAGTATTGCAACCCAAATTGGACTGCCCCTCTGTCGTGCTTGCGGACAACTTTACCTGCCATGTGTCGAAGAAATCCTACAAGATCCTTGAAGACGAGTTGTTTTGAATGCATACCTACAACCGCTGCCGGCAAACACGACGAGTGTGCTTCAACTCCTGGATGTGGGTGTTATGGGGCCATTCAAACAAATGTGCCCCAGCGAATGGATCAAGGAGATAAGAGCCTGGTCTGTGAACGTTTTGATCCAGCTTTTACGGATAAAGTTTATTCGGATTGTGCCCTCAAACCTGGTCTGCCAACCATTCCAGCTTTTGGCATTCCAGCTTTTGAATGGTGCGAGTGCAATGGATCGATTGAAAGGTGTTGTTGCTGTTGGTTGTATGCGCCGTGTGCATTTCGGTGGCTACGAGCACTAGCTCGACGGCTAGTAACTACAACGTACTGACGATTTCGAATGTGAACTTTGATGAAAGGCTTGATACAATCAATGGTTTTGTGACAACCTTCGCTGTGACCAGCAAGCGTTCTGTAAGATAGTTGTGTGGCTTCGCCAACGCATGCCAAAATACTCTAGGCGTCGTTCGGTGCACTCATTTGAAAGGAAGGTTGCTCTATTTCAATTCTTTTTGGGTTCCGAGGGTGATTACTGTGAAACCTCGGCTGCGTTTGGCATGGCTAAGTCTTGGTGTATTAGTGTTGTTTCGTCATTCGTTC